TAAATGTTTTACATGAATATCATCATTTATCCATCACGGACACTATAATCCCTCTGTTAGAAGTGAGGAAAGTGAACCTTGGAGAAAGATGAAGTAATTTGCCTAAGTATATGTGGCTCAGAAGTTGCAAAGCCAGGATTTGAAGGCATGTTCTCTGACCCCAGAGCCCACACACTTAAGCTATCCAATACACTGCCTTGAAACACCTTAGAAAATAGAGCAGCTCCGTTTCCTTGATCTGCTTAATAAAAACAACTATTATTAAATGAGTACTTTCTATGTGTAGACCTATATCATGTATAGCATGTAGACTATAAAGGTCTGTATGTAGACCTTTACATATATATGTATTATATATAAGTACTATATATACTACAGTTTTAGGTTTACAAAAAATTGAGAGGAAAGTACAGCAAGTTCCCAAATACTCCCCACCCCAACCCAGTTTCTCTATTGTTAACATCTTGAATTAGTGCGACACATTTGTTACAATTGATGAGCCAATACTGATACATTATTATTACCTAAATTCCATAGTTTGTATTAAGGTTTTCTCTTTGTGTTGTACATTCTATGGGTTTTGACAAATATATAACAACAGCTATCGACCTTTACAGTATCGTTCAGAGTAGTTTAACTGTCCTAAAAATCCTCTGTGCTCCTCTGATTCATCCCTCCCTCCTCTTCCCTCCACAAGCCCCTGGCAGCCACCGATCTTTTACTCTCTTCATAATTTTGCTTTTTCCAGAAGTTGGAATCACATAGTATGTTGCTTTTTCAAATGAGCTTCTTTCACTTAGCAATATGCATTTAACGTTCCTCCATATCTCTTCATGGCTCAATAGCGCATTTCTTTTTATTGACAAACTGTATTTCATTGTCTGGGTGTACCACAGTTGTTGTTGTTTTTTTTTAAGGGATTTTATTGTATTTATTTATTATTTTTTTTTGCTGAGGAAGATTTGCCCCGAGCTAACATCTGTTGCCAATCTTCCTCTATTTTGTATGTGGTGCCACAGCTTGGCCACCGAGGCGTGGTGTAGGTCTACACTGGAAACTGAACCTGGACCGCCAAAGCAGAGCCCGCTGAACTTAACCACTAGGCCATGGCGCCAGTCCCTGTACCACAGTTTTTTTATCCATTCACCTATTGAAAGACATCTTGGTTGCTTCCAAATTTTGGCAATCAGGACTAAAGCTGCTATAAACGTTCATGTGTAGGTTTTTGTGTGGACACAATTCATCTGGGTAACTACCAAGGAGTGTAATTGCTGGATTGTACAGTAAGACTATGTTTAGTTTTGTAAGACATTGCCAAACTGTCTTCCAAAGTGACTGTACCATTTTGCATTTCCACCAGCAATGAGTCAAGAGTTCCTGTTGCTCCACATCCTCGACAGCATTTGGTGGTGTTGCTGTTTTGGATTTTAGCTATTCAATGGGTGAGCAGTGGTATCTCGTTGTTTTAATTTGCAATTCCCTAATGACATATGATGTTAAATATCTTTTTGAATGCTTATTTGCCATCTATATGTCTTCCTTGATGAGGTGTCTGTTCAGGTCTTTTGCCCATTTTAAAAGTTGGGTTGTTTGTTTTCTTATTGTTGAGTTTTAAGAGTTCTTTGCAGGGGTCAGCCTGGTGGCGCAAGAGGTTAAGTGTGTGCGCTCTGCTGCGGCAGCCCGGGGTTCGCCGGTTCGGATCCCGGGCGCACACTGAAGCATCACTTGTCAAGCCATGCTGTGGCGGCGTCCCATATAAAGTGGAGGAAGATGGGCATGGATGTTAGCCCAGGGCCAGTCTTCCTTAGCAAAAGAGGAGGATTGGCAGATGTTAGCTCAGGGCCGATCTTCCTCACCAAAAAAAAAAAAAAAGAGCTCTTTGTGTATTTTGGGTACCAGTACTTTACCAGGCATGTGTTTTGCAAAGATTTTCTTCTAGTCTGAGGCTTATCTTTTCATTCTCTTAATAGTGTCTTTTGCACAGCAGAAGTTTTAAATTTTAATGAAGTCCAACTTGTCAATTTTTTCTTTTGTGGATCATAATTTTGATGTATCTAAAAAGTCATTGCCAAACCTAAAGATCACTTAGATTTTCTCCTATGTTATCTTCTAGGATTTTTCTCATTTTGCATTTACATTTAGGTCTATGATTCGTTTTCAGTTAACTTTTGTGAAAGGTGTAAGGTCTGTGTCTAGATTCATTTTTTTTGCATGTGGATGTCCAGTTGTTTCAGCACCATTTGTTGAAGAGACTGTCCTTTCTCCATTGTATTGCCTTTTTCCTTTGCCTCAAAAATCAGTTGACTATATTGTGTGGCTCTATTTCTGGGCTTTGTCTGTCGGTTGTCATACTGTGTGTTGTGTGGGTCTGTTTCTGGTCTTTGTCAGCTGTCATACTGTGGTGTCTGCGTGTTGTCATGATGCTGAAAGCTATGCCACTAGTATGTCTAATACCAGCAGGGTCACCCAGGGTGACAGGTTTCAGCAGAGCTTCCAGACTAAGACAGACTGGGAGGAAGGACTTGGCCACCTACTTCTGAAAAAACTGGCCATGAAAACCCTGTGAATAGCGGTGGGACATTGTTTGATATAGAGCCTGGAAGATGAGAGGATAGCACAAAAAGACCGGGTAGGGTTCCGCTCTGCTGTACACAGGGTCACTAGGAGTCGGAAATGCCTCAACAGCACTAGCAACAAAAAATTCTAGGCTCTCTATTTTGTTTCACCTTTATGCATATTTTTCTTTTTCTTTTTTTCCACCTTTACTGAATGTATATTTTTCATTCTCACCATAAAGTTATTCCTATCCAGTAGGTAGTAAAACCCTTATTTTGAAGATGAAGAAACTGTGCCTAAGAGAGGACAATTTCCCTGCGCCAGCAGTGGGCAGAAAGTCGAGTTAGAGTTTAAAACCACATCTGTCTGACTCTCTGATGCTCTACACTTTTTGCACTCCCATGCTGACTAATGGTGCTAGGCTGGGACTTGGTCTGTCAACCGTAACCTTAGATGGTGCCCTCTAGGGCCAAAATTCTAGCATCTCCTTTCCTTAATAGTCTTTGGAATCTTGGCTCAATGCTCTTTGATTCTGAGGTTGCCTGTCACTCATGGTCCCTCTGGACCTGCAATGGGAATCTTAACTGCCTGAAGTTTAGCTGTACTTAAAAAAATCAGCCAGGTTTTTTTTTCAGTTTTTTAAAAACTTTTTGCTGAGAACTTGAGCATAATGATTTTTTCCCTGGTTCACACTGAATCCTTTTTGCTGGGAAGCTGCTTGCTTATGGGTCTGGTCACTGAGGGTCTGCTATTGTCTTTCTGAAGAGGAAGTCTGCTGGGTGGGATTGCTAAACTGAGCACAGTGCTACAAATCTCCTTGGTTAAGTTCCACCTATATACCCATCAGGGCCTGGAACATTTGCTCTCAGAATTTACAAATATTAACTCTGTGTTCCTTCTCTGCATTCCCCAAGCCGAGCATCTATACAATCTACTAAATTCTATTTTACTGCCAAGAGTCTTTAAAAAAAATCCTATAATCATATTTCAAACACTAAAGGATAGTGTTCTGATAAGAATATAAGGTTAATAGAGGTGAAAAAGCTTGCAGAAGACCACACAGGGAATGAAGTGGGAGAATTCAGATTCAAATTCAGATCTGGTGCAGAGACAAAGTGGGTGGTCCTTGAATCACACCAGGCTTCCCTCTGTGAGAAGGGGGACATCCTTTCAAGGCAGTGTCAGGGGGTAAAGGAGACTGTGTGGGATTCAGAAAAAGCCCCAACACAGGGGACCTCCTTGATGCAACTCGAGAGCATCATTTCATCACTGTACAATTGAAACTGAAATTTATTGTTTTAAAACAATGTATAGGTAGTCACTTATGATGCCAAACACTGTTCAAAATGCTTCACAAATATTAGCCCATTTCTATGCGTTCATTAAAACCTTTTCTGAAGCCAGTACCATGCAGTTATGTGCTCTATAAATAGCTAGTGTAACTCCAAGAGAGGATCACATCCAGTGGCTGACGACGAGCCCCTTACTGACCAAGAACATCAGGTGGGGGTAGGAGGTGTGGAAAGGATTCAAAGACCATGGACACTGTACTGTCGTTTTGTCTGTTTTCTACAAAGTTAGGAGGAGACTGGCAGAATTAATCTATGTCCCGCTCGCCTCTCCCATGTCACACATCACTGGATCTCCATAGACTGTGGTTTTGCCTGTTTTTTTTTTTTGGAGCAAAGAGAGACAACAAAGAGGGAGCTTGTGAGGTGAGCCCTGTGGGATTCGTTACTGAAGTCTCGGCCATCTCGGGGAGAGTAACTCCGGAAATAAGCCGCTTTGACGAGCCCGTTGGCCAGGTATGCTTGTCCCACGGCCAAGGGGCACAGGTAGATTCAGGCTTCAGGGCCCTTCCTGACAAGGGGCAAGGATAAATTATTTATTAAAAGCAAGGGAATAGCAATAAAATACTCCAATGATAAAGAAATGAAGATTTACAATAATTTTTAAAAACCCTTGAAGTGCTTCCCAAATCTTTTATTTTTGGAAAGGAAAACTGGCCGCGAGCTCGGTGTCAGCTCGCTGGGACCCGCTGGTCGGGGGTTGGCACGGCCGAGCCCGCCGCACTAGCCCCGGCCCGCCAGGCCTGCAGGGGACCAGAGGACGCGGTGCGGCCGCCGCCTCGGATTGGCGGAGAAATGGCAACACGCGGGCGGGGCGACCGCGAAGACGCCGGGAGGCGCCGCCCGCCTGCGGGGGGATCCCAGGTTGGCGCCCGGGCGCGCGACGACGCGCCGCC